GTCGGTTGTGGGTTGATAGGCAAGATGTGTGAGCACTCAGATTTTCTTGATGGAGAATGATCCAATTCCGATGGTTTATCTTTCATATTTCATTGAAGACTTCCAGTAAACAAATACCATTCGAAATTGACCGTTTTCTTCTTCTTCTGTCATCCTCATCTCCCAGTGAAGCATAGTGCCTCGATCATTCTCTTATAGCTAACTCATGCCTGATGTTCATTCCAGGAGTAATTTGCGGCTTCTATTTGTAATTGTATTGATTTTCTCCATGTTCTTGCTGACCGTTTTATCTTCCTGTAATAGTATACTCGTAGTTGCCACATGACCAGTTTTCCCGAAAAAACAGGCGACCATTTGTTTCGAAGTGCTTCGAGCGTGAACAACTTTTGTTGAATTTGGTTCATCTTAAAACATCTATACAGTCGACTGTTTATATCCATGACACGTCACCTGTTACAGTCTTATACGACTTATGGTATACATTTTATACTACCTTTGAAGCTCCGCTATTGTACTCGTACTTCATAAGCATTTGTGTACACCAATCGACGCAAGTATCGCATTGGGGGATCCAATGAGAACAAACCTTTCTCACGTCGAAATGATCATGCAATGTTTTATATATGGAACTAATATCTATGGTTCCTTTAATTTTACAGTATGTCACATGACGATCTTGCAGTACTTGTACCTGTTCTTGCACAGGATCAATGTTTTCTGGCACAACAATTGATTTTGGCCAAGGCTCAAAATATAAATTGTGAACATCGTAGAGTGAAAGCGCCTTCTTTCAAAATATAGAACGCGTATTATAGATAGTTATGACCGCACTGATGCCACGGTGCATAAATACTGGAACTGCGGCACACAGCGTCTACGTCCAAACACCATAACATGATTTAAAATTCTTTAGGAAATATTTGATGTGTATTTAAAAATACTCAAAACAGCCGTATGATTTTTGATTAGCCTCCTCTTTTTAATTGATTCCAAACTTCCATGTTGTTGATGTTTAACGCTTCCGTAATCTTCTAACAGCTTGCGGCCACCAGTGATTAACCTTAGTGACTGGCCAACCTGACAAGGTGCATCTTTGATATCTAAATTTCTGAAATCGAGCAAACTACTCTCCCAGCATCCTCAACCTAAACCACACAAATGTTTTGACAGCACCTTTTTTATATTAATAACACATCACATAAACCACCAGATATTTTTCACTTATTTTCAAATCAATAACACTTTTACCACAAACCTTTTAACTTTCAAACACGTACTCGTTTGACATAATCGGATTAGCGATGCCAGACATATAGGTACTAACAGCATTTAGTGGCAAATATAAAGAATAACTTTTAATATTTATCTGCTTTAATATAAAAAATGTTAAATCTCTTATCCTATCTTGTGTCTTGAGTTAGCACTTATATTGCTAATGTAGCAGATTGCATTTATGAATCACTTACTATTTTCCGATGCATTTTTAAATATACCAAGGAAGTATAACAGAATGCTTTCAAAATGTTAACTGCAACAGGGAACCATAATTACAGAAACTTATTCCAAATTCTGTACACATTTTATTACCACAACCTTATATTGATTTACAACCATGTCTCGTAGTCCTTTATTTTACTTGCTGTTTATATTAATATGTTACTAGAAAAACTTCTGGCAATTACTATAATTTCCAAACGAAAACTTGATGACAAAACATTTACTTAATTATCAATTTTCGTAAAATTAGAAATGAAGCCCAGAAGTGCATTTCGTTTGCCATCTACAAGAAGCAACCTCAGTAAAGTTTAATCATATCGAACACAGTGAGTGTGTCCACAAAGTCGGCCCTGCAGTCAACTGGCTGATGATTTTTTGTCATCACCTAATATATAAACCAATTCGATAGTACGAGTTCAAGGCACTGACACAAGGAAAACAGATGAGAAAAGGCCTTAAACCGCAGTCGAATGTAACTGCCGCAATGTTTTCATACCAGCATTGGATCATAAAGTATCCAACGTGTACAAGTCATCCACAGCAACCGAATGCATCAGTCTCGACACCAGCAACTCCAAAATAGGTGCAACATTGCCATTTGACAAATTGCTCTAGGAGTAAATTTGGTTTAACGGTTTCCATTTTATGGCAGCCAAAATCCAAAATCGTTTTATGTATTTGCTCGTACAAATAAAAATCTTTAAGGGGCAAATTATCTACTTTTAATGTTGCAGAGGCATTATGGGTTTCTACTTGAATTTATTGCTACGAATTGCAAATTTAATGTCCTCATAAAATTTGGTTTTAAGTAAATCTTGTAAATGCCTCTACTATTTTATTTAATATCCTCTTTATGCTCGATACGAACAGAAATGATATTGATAATTTCTCTGATCTCAGTGCACTCCTGGTGGTCGATTCAGAAGGAATCGACGTGAGTTCGCGAAATAAAATCAAGCAAATATAAAGTAAATTACTAAATTGTTCAACTATTGATATTAAAGCGCAGACCTATAAAAACTTTGTTCTTTCGAATAACAAATATCATTTTAATTATTACACATTAGTGCGGTATAAACTGCACTAAATACAAACAGAAGTCGAATTGTTTGTAAACAACTTTTTTGTATCTTTTTCTAATTTTAATGTGGAAGCATACATAATTCCCATCAAAGAAAAACCAATTAAGTTGGAGTTTTAATCCCATATGCTTTAAGATTTAATTAGTCATGTTATTTTAAAGTTCGACAAAAATCATTATACTGAAAATAATATCGCAGATATTGTAGGTTTATAGATTAATTTCGAAATTAATTTCACTGAATTTTGTAAATCTTTAGAAATTAGTAAATTAATTTACACATTTGACGTATAATTAAGAAGTTTTGGGAAACTCTGATTTTTTCACAAAGTATTTATAGAACTTTATATGTTTATTCTCTGACTTTGAAACTAATCCATAAGAATTTGATATAACCCACTTCTACCACTGTAGCTAACACTTTAAAAACAGCTGGCGATCTTAGCTCTTTTAAATAACGTCTTAGCATCACTTTTCGGTTTTTCCTTTCTAGAATTTATTGTTTAAAATCGATATTCTTCGGATGATAGTGTGCTATATTATTCAAAAACTAATAATTGTGACTATCTATCGTCTGCATGGACCTTTATAAATATTTGAAATGCTTCTCTGCTTTCAAATCCGTTTAAATGGCGTACAAACTTTCCACACTTTGGAGTAATAATACTCCGCCATGATTAAGAAGTCAAACAAACTTCCAAAAGTTTTGTAATAGTTATATAGACTACTATATAATAATAAAAACTAATCTACCAGGTTTTATTTTTATTCTCATTAGCCCATTGATCAATTAAAAATAATTAAAACAATAACTTTATTTTTTATTAATTAAACCTCTTTAGAAATTACTTCCATGGAAAAAAGTCTTTTAAGCATAAATCCGATGAAAAATTTCTTTAACAATTGGATTAATGTTTTTGCTTAACAGTAGTTGCCGCATGTTATATCAGTCTATCAAGAATCTTAGCATGGTACTTACAGAAAGATAATATTTTGATTACTGTTTGACTATATAAGTACATACAAATAAGAATACTTATTAAAACATTGATAAAGTTATGTCAAGCGTGGACGTCAGTATACATATCAGAAGATAGCAATATCAGATATCTGATAATGAATCCACAACTGCTTCTTTGATTTTAGTACCTTCTGTGTTTTACTGGAACCCTTTTGATTCCCAATCAGACGTGTTAATTTTAAAATTCATACAGTCTGAAAAGTGGGCTTTGTAATAGTAAATAAGTAATATGAAACTTAACTATCAGTGTGAAGAGTGTAGAACCTTCAAAGTTTGATCAATTTTGTCATTACTTAATAGTAATATTTCTTAAAAATGTCTTTGAATCACCAAAGCAAATACCTTACGTTATATACTAATAAAGTAAAATATTGAATATGTTCAGATTATTTTAAATAGAAATGGATAAGGGATAATTTTTCTTTCCCAGGTAACTTCCATTCATGCTATTACAACAATAAAGGAAATAAGAACCGAATGCTTAAAATTTAAATTTAATAAATATGGTAATATAACATATTACTGTGGCCCTTATTTTCCTCGTAGGATCTATACTGTTACTACTATTAATCTCCTGAACTCCTTTTAGAGCACCACTAATAAAAACTTACTTCACTACTAATTCTACAACTACTACTACTAATTTCCAGAACTTCTTCTGAAGCATAGGGCGTCCACCATCGATTTAAGTCGTATTCTATTAGGAGCTGTTCTTGTGAAATCATTTCAAGTAAATCGAGCATCCTTTAATTCTTTTTTAATTGTTCTCCGCCATCTTCTTGCTAGTGCGCCGGGTCGCCGACTACCTTGTGGTCTTCATCGTAGTGCTTGCCTTGCTATATAATTTCCGGGGCGAATTTGTTATTTCCGTTGTAACTTGGGGTTGATTTGTTCTCCTCCATTATACACTATTTGATACTTGTTGACAAGCACTTAAATGCTCTGTCTGCTATTCGCAATGTTTTTCTTAATTTTGTCGAATGTCAGTATAAAAAGGTGCGGGGAAAGTACGCATCCTTGACGTACCCACTCTTGATTTCAAATGATCTAAAAGATACCCTGCATGGTTTATTCAGCAATTATAGTAATCGTACATGGCTTTAATGATACTGGTAAACCTCGTCTTCTTAGCGTATCTTTTAGGTACCATTTATTAAGGGTATCAAAGGCTTTTTTAAAGTCAATAAGCAACAGGTAAATATACTATATATTAACTAACTTAGATATAAAACTCTCATTCATTCATTCCCCTGACTAAGCGCAAATAATTAAAAAAATACGATACCGTATTCAATATAAAATATTATTAACATAATTATATATATAAATATATATATTTATATTATAGTCTATATATAGATTTTGAAGTAAATATAATAGAAACAAACTTGAATTTTTTAGATGAACCAGCTGTGTAAAGTGTGTGGTGAACCGGCGGCTGGATTTCATTTTGGAGCGTTTACTTGTGAAGGCTGTAAGGTAGGTTTTTAAACTTTTTATTAATATTATATTTGTACCGGTTAAGTGTTACTATAAAATATCTCCAATATATTTAATAATTACTGCACCTTATAGAGAAATTAAACAAAATTATTAAAAAAAATAATTATTAATTAAAGTACAAATGGAGGCAAAAATAAATTATTATTATTACTTAATTTTATTACATTAATGTTTTTATATTTATATCAGAGATATATTTTTCTTATAATAAACCATAAACCACAGTTACAAAAAATTTACAATAAATAATTTGTAAATTATTTATTCATAAAAATAATTTATATTCAATAGATTCTTAATAGTCCAAATTAAGTTTCCTTGAACTCTAGGACTTTTAGATATGAGAAATTACATATCTCAGTTGGTTTTACAAAATATTAAATACTTAAATACTTTAAATTAAATAAATACAGTTGGTTTCATATAAAATTATTTTTATTTTTTTGAAAAATATCGTTACAGTGACATAAATTTCAGATACTTTTTTTAATTATTATTCTTCGTATTCTTCGTCATCACACTAAAATAATTTGCAATCAGGAAAAGTTTTATTTCTTGGCGCCGGTTAAATGGAAATTTAATGCGTTTTAATTGCATTAAACGCAGCATCCGCAGAGACCTCCATTATACAAGTATATCAAACGCGATTATAATAGGGAAAATAGGAATTATATTTAGGAATTTTATAAAATGACTCTTTGCCATTTATTCATGCAAAGTTAATTAAATATAATTTCGAATAAAAATTTATTATGATCATAAACTGCAAACCCATAAATATAATTTGGTTATGCAAACCTTTTATAGTGCCCTAAATGTTATACATAAAAATGGTTTTAATCGAATTCGCATTTGTCAAAATCAGTGATATATTTTTATTAATATTACTTTTATGTACTGTACTTAAACAGAAGACTAATGATCCATTAAATATTGCAACAGTCATAAAATTTTATCACAACTTATTAACCCACAATTAACTTTTATTCATTAATTAATAGCTTTATAATCAAAAAATAAATATATAGTAATACCATTCAATAGATTAAAGTTATAGGCATAGCTTTCTTTTTTTGTTAAAGTTTTAAAAACAACTCTGACTACTGATCATGTAATAGTAGTTACTAAATGATAGTTTGAGAAAACTAACCATCATACCTATAATAACTTGAAAATCAGGGTACATCAGTTCAAATTAATAAAGACGATTTACGTTGCTCTCTTCAGTATGCTCTATCCACTCAAATATACACCGGTTTCCTTTTATCGATGAATCTGTCCTTTCTTTTTAACGTTATCAGCGTCGTAAATTCACGACCCCGTCTGCAATTAGAATGTTCTTAACACAAAATATTCTAGTCTTCATTCGATAGATGGAATATCTTCTGTTTATTTAGAGTCTGGTTCAAAACGAAGCAATTTCTAAGATGAGAGCACCCTAATCCACTAAATCCTAATCATGCAGCACTGTGAAAAAACCCAATATATATATATATATATACCTTTATCATTTAGTACCATGAAAGTTGTTAAAAATGAGATTGCCTCAGATTCATTTTAGATTTATAGATTTAAAATCATCATATTACCTATAAGCAAACTAAGAAAATACACTAAAGTAAAAAAGTTATAACCTTATTTATAGTGATACACCAATCAAAACTGAACTGTAAATATCAGAAACCGAGAAGCGAAGCTTTTGTCGAAACTATCGACTATCAAATCGGAACCGAATCAAAAAATGTATATCGGATTACTTCGATATTGTATACAACCAATAAATCATACTATCGTATATGTTTCGGGATGTGTTGGTAACTGATACATTACTATTAAATTTTTCTCGCAGACCGCACTAAACCCGACTTATTGACTATATCACTGTGGATGGAAGTAAATTTGATCGATTTTCATTAGGAATTTAAGACGTAGATGTAGATTCCATAAATAATGTTAATATTGAATACCTTAGTTTTATAAGCTTAATGCTAATAATAATAATGTATAAACGTATGTCCAGCTTGTAGTACAATATTAAATTATGAATTTGTAGTGTTTTTCCAAGTCCAATTTACTTTATAAATTGTAGTGCTAATTGTACTTACTTCATCAAGTCTTATTATATTATCTAATATAAGATGCCTACCATTCCCTTGATACTCTTGGAATATATCTACTTATAACCTGTCTGTTTAATTAGTTTAATTCACTTATTAAGGAAAAGTAGTTGGGATAGTATTGTATGTTTATTAAAGCTTTTTAAAAATGGCATCTTTAGAACAGATATAAAAATACGTAGTTGTCTGGTAGAAAAAGTAACACTTGTGACTACGAATATATGTTATAAAATAAAAGTATAATTACTCAAATATATTTTCTATTCTTCCGCGGAATATGTGTATAATTAAATCTTAAGTACCCTAATAAAAATTTTTATGAACCGTAGTAAATGCAAATATTTACTCGTACTAAACACCAGAAATAGTGAAATCATTTGCTTTTATGGTACCTTCAGTTTTCAAACCGTATAATCACGAAACGTGGGTACAATTGCAAAAGATCAAAATGCATACTTAAAAATATAAAATACCGATAATTACCTTTGCCTTAAAATAATTATAGCAGCGTCTAATGTGTATTCAATCAATATGACCTACTCAGAGATAAAAATACGTAAAGCAGCATCCATACGTTGTTTGGATGCTGTAGATGAAACAAGTCACTTTGATGTACCATAAAGGTCGCTGCTGCACTTAAGCTACTGGTAAGGTGTCGAGACGAGCAAATCAGCCGAAAGTCATTAAAGTGCTATTAGCGGTTTTGTTTAATTTAAATTTAATTTATAATTTATAATCTTAATTTTATTGAAGGTTTAATAAACTGAACTATCTAAGTATACTTTCAAGAAGAACTCCATAACCAGTTACTGACAAATTGCGACTTTTAAAACTTAAAGTCAATTTTAGTTTTGCTTTGAGTACGATGAGAACTGAGAACTGAACTGATTCTGCAATAGTCCTTCATTTTTTTATTCACAACTTTTGATTTGTACACCGCGGAAAGGTCATCAAATGCGTATCTTTAATTTCTAATCGATCGCTTTAATTACTCGAAGCGCGTTACTAATTTTCTGCGCTGGAATTACAATTTCTACTTCACAATTTTTTGTTTGAATTTTTATATACATATATATTTTTTTTTAACTTTATGACTTTTTGGTAGTTTAATAATCAATAGAAGCGCACTTTTATGCCAACTCACATTCTCACTTGGGCTTTTGTTCAGGTCTGCGTGTGGCTCGAATAGGACTTGGACGTGCACTCCATACGAGAACGGGTACTACAATATATTCTGCAGTTCACATCCATTGCGATCCATAGAGCGCAGTGCGCAGTACGGAATTCGCCGTTTGCGTATCTCATTGATCTACAAACTTCATTGATCGCAGTGATTTTTTATTGTAGTTCAGATACAACATTTTGCAAATCATCTAATACGCATGTAATTTCTATTTGATTGACTACATTTTACAATAATATATTGTTTTCTCTTGTGTAATATTATTTGTGAATGATTTTAATGTAAGGTTGATCTATATTTTGTTACCGCTTTTGATAGATTTGCGGTAAATTTTTCCCATAATTGAGGCTATATTGTTCGCCGACTTTATTACGGCATGAAAAATTTCTTTTGGCTCATGAGAGATGCAAACTTGGATGCTGGCTGCTGGCTGCAAGGCAACTATAAAATTTATTGTATCTTAAGTTTTTGTACTTTTGCTGTTCATTTGAATTTGAACCCGATTTATACTGAAGTGATTTTATGTATTGTGCTGAAATGTTGATTTATGTTTATGCTAATAATTTAAAAATTACAATAGCCTTTATGCTTCAATCGAACATTGGTACATTTCTAAATCGATCTTAAATATATAATAAATGATTTTAAGAGAACGAACTGAGTTCCTAATTAGGTCAGCAAATATAAACTGTGTAGAAATTATTTCTTCCATTGAACAGGAAATGTTCTCCATATATTAAATATATGGACTAATAATATTGATTTCATGTGAGTGCTTCGTCTGTTTGGAGCAGTAATAATTCATTTTATTTTATATAACTTCACTCGTAGACACAAATAACTGTTCTACATTGATATTGGCTTAGTTTTTAAAGAATAAAAACTTAAATGGTTCATTTAGGAAATTTTTAATTGATACACCAAAACTGACACTTTTCTCTTGGATGTGTCGAAAGCTATTCTTTTAATAGCAGATGTTAATCTTAATAATTTTAATTTAGTAATTAAACATTTTTTCTTTTTTGTTGAATGAACAAATCTACACACCGCAGCAAGTTCAAAATACTCAACCTTTTCTGTTACATTAAAGTAAATATCTGACACTTGGTGAAAGAAAGGTTTCTTTACATATGCCGCATACAATTTGTTCGCACTATCAGTGCTTCAGTATGACCCTTCAAATATAGATTAAGTGGACAGAGTTGTCAAAGCAAATCAAAAGCAATCAGTGATTAGTATATATATATATATATATAAATACATTTCACAGCTTTTTTTGCATTAGTAATGAAATAGACCGACATACGTCTTATTCAACGTACTCGTAAGAAGTAAAAAAGTACCCAGGGTCCGACAAAAATCCTTGACAATTAATGTCAACAGTGATACTTTATTCAAGAAAAAGAAAATAAAATAGAACGTAGATATATGTTAATTAAGAGCAAAAAAGAATTGATCCAAATGAAAAGATTCAATACAATATATATATCTCCCGTTTATCTGGATTCATACTTTCAACTGATAAAACAATTGACACTATGTTTTCGTTCTACACATTTTTCTCGCAAAGGTGTTCGTTTCACTATCAATGTTACTAAACATCCATTCACTCATATCTCTCCAAACGTCATCAATACGTTAATAATAAATCTATACAGACGTGTCTGTTTGACATC